AATGAGCAGGTTGGATATACTCACCACGCCACAATCCGAGGAGAGGACTTGAAAGGTGAGAGAAGGAAGTCCTAATTAACTTAAATGGCTCTTGAGTGGAGACAGGTTGCTGTGCTGTGAGGTGTCCGGGCAGGATGCTACTGCTGCTGCTGCTGCTGCAGTCCTCTTCACTCTGTCTCTCTCAGTGATGCTTTGCACGGCGCATTGAACGCGTGGGACAGTTCCGAAGACTTGATCCCCTCGGTGACTGATAGGCAACACATTCTTCTCTTATTGAGCGCTACGAGGGGAATAAAAAAGGGATTTGCTGCTCTCATCTCCCTGTTTTTTTTTTCGGAGCCTTTTCAATAGGATTGGAGGGAGGGATAGTTAATGCTCTTCATAGGGCGCACAATGAATAAGGAAACAACTGAGCAGAAAAAAGAAAGGAAGGGAGAGAGAGAGGGAGAGAAAAGCAGGGCAGTCCACGGTGTTACGCATATTGTGGAATCTCACGGTCATCACAGAATCGATTCCCTGTAAACGTGTACGGCTGAAAGTATTTTCTTCCCCTTTCAGTGACCGCGCAGCTAGCCTCCGCATCCAGTCTTGCTGAGAGAAGTTCCCCCGGAGCCCTGGAGCAGTGATGAGTTGGTACAGATGCTGTGGGTGCGCCCGCTTTGGTGCTTCGCCGCTGCTCAAAGCTGGTGTCACGGTACAGTATAGTTACAGCGCAATATGAGCCATCTGAAACTGCCCTTTTTACCCGGTGGTTGGATTAGCCTACTCCCTAACCGCATCTCCTCCTCTCTCCAAATGCGCTCTCAAAATGTGCAGTGACTAAGGCCATTTCTGCACATGTTCTTTTTTTCACACTTAAACTCCTACAGATCGAGTTTATTCATCATTACATGTAAATAATATATATGTATTTTTAAAAGTGAATGTTATCCCTTAAGGTTACTTTCCTCTCAATAAAACGTGTTATCAGCCGTCTTTATCATATAAGAGCGAACGCGCACACGCACAGCGAAACGTGAATGCCTGCAGAAGCAATAATAAGCTCGTAATTGTCCTATAACTCACACTGCCTGCTGGGCTACTTAAATATTTTTCAAACACGGAAGACATGAAATATGGCCTCCAATCAGAAGTTTGATGTATGATGAACCAGGAAAAGAGGGGGACGACTAAGGATAAAAACCAGTCCAAACATCTGGCTTGCAGACCTCCCTCGACGCAATGTAACCCAGTGTAATCACAGCTTGAGCCACTTTGCGGCATCTCCATCAAACCCCAGACTAGGAGCAAGCTTAAATGTCCCCAAACTTCTCCATATTGGTTCATTTTGTGACATTTATCTGCTAATTTGCATATTCCACATTAGTCATTGCAGAGGTTGTAGGTTGAGTAATCTCTCCCCCTTCCTCCGCACCTCTCTGTCTCTCCCTCAGATGACAGTAAAAGGAAGTAGGCTTTAAAAAAAGAGAGAAAAAAGGCTTTAATGACAGCCACCCTACGTTTTTACCCGAGCCTTATATGAATTTGCTCAAACGGGTTTCCTGGAGCAGTCATGCGACACCGAGCAGATTAGAGCTTCAATCCGGATAAAGGGGGCCTTTTATATACAAATCAACTTCAAATCACTTTTTAAGCCACTTAGATATACACACCAAGGCAGAATGCTAATGCACTTTTCATTGCTGCAGCTTAGGGAATGGAAGGAGATTAGATGAATTGGTGTCACTAAGCGAACCGTGTTCGAGGGGGGTTTTAACTTAATTTTATGAAAGTAGCACACAAGCACCTTTCGCTCCCAGCAGCAATGTTATGTTTAATTTTGGATAACCTGGATCGATATACGGATTGATTCGCGTCCACACTGAAGGCCCGGGCAACTTGCTACATAAGCTTACTCAACAGTGACCATAGAAAAGATTTTTAATAGATATGTTGTCTCCAATAAGGTGTTTTAGTCTGTCAGTTCTTTTGAATCCCTAAAAATAATTTGTCATTAGAGTTTTGTCAGCGGTCGTAATTGCACAACATTGTAAATAACAGTCTGTTACTCTAGCCATTTTTTTTCTTTCGTTGCTTTGAAATAAAGACTTTAGATTGACAATGTGAAGTTGTTTCAAGCACAACAATGAGGCGCAGCCGCTCTGATGGAGGTGGGAGGAAGGGGGAGCACAAGACTTAAAAACAGTATTGTTGGAGGGTCTGTTAGCGGAGCCGCCTGCCTGCTGCTGCCTCCCTGTCGTACAGTGGAACCAGCAGCTCTCCCCTCCCCCTTCATTATTTAAAATAACTCACCGCTTTATGAACAAAATCTTCCTTGAGTTTCCATATTTCATCTCATCGAGGATTTCTGTGTTCTCCCCCAAAATGTAGGACCAAATTACCTTATTCCTCCCATCACACCAACAGAGAGTAGGAACAAGTACATGCATATATAAATATGTATTTTTTTAATCCTTATAAATATGATCATTGGATCCAGTATTTCTAAATACCTGCTTAATTCGAAATCGCTGTCCCGCAATGCTTGTAAAGTGCTTGTGCGTAAAATGTTGGAGACGTCATTTTACGCTTGGGTGAATGATCCCGTTATCGAATAATTAAAGTATCAACTGGTGATCCAATTCTCATCCTGGCCAATATTTTGCAAACAGCCGCCTGTAGAGGCATCTACTCCCCTCCCCTCTTTCTTTCACCCCCTCCTCCCCCCTCCTCCTCCACTTTATTCTCTCCTCCGACCTCCTCTGTTCTCCGTCTTCACTCCTCGGTCGTTTGGCGGTGCATCGATAATACTGCAGACATCGTCCTTTCGATTTTCTTATTCGACGCGGACCATCACTACCAGTGTTTTAATGTCACGTCGCGAAAGACGCACAACAAAATGGAGCTATCAAACAAACTCCGTTGGGACCAATTCCTGATTTTGGCAGCAGCACTTATGTCACCTGCAATCACGTAAGTGCACTTGAGAGCGCCAGGAGAGTTGCAGACTGTGGCTGCACGAGATTCGGCAGAGTTGCGGGAAGTTCTTTGCATAGGTTACTATTCAAATGAATAATTTAGCTATTTAAAAAAAAAAAACATTAAAAACGAATTATTAGTCATTGTATTTCGAAGTCTGGTTTCGTGTAAAGTTAAATAAAAAAAAGTGCAATCAGTGTTAATTGAGTGGTTTAGCTTTAAACGAGTCAAAATAATTCCAAAGTGATTTCACTTTCAATCTCGTTATTTCTTTATAAGATGCATTTGGCCATTAAATCTGTTTTTGATATTTCTCAGCTGGATAATCTGTTTAGAATTATATTTTCCCTCCTTTAACCAACTGACACTGGAGCAGAAACAGTGCAGCAAATACTTTTTATTGGTAGGTGTATTTCCCATAAAGAATGAATTATATCATATCTCTCTTAATTATTTATTGGGTTTGTATTTTTCTTAAGTGTACTGAACCCCCTCCCATTGCCTCATATTCCTCTGGGCTTGACTAATGAACTGTTGACCATCTCCGATGACCCCCCCACACACACACACCATCTCACTCCCCCACTCTTTCTCCCACTCTCCCTGCAGGGTGCTGTGTAATGATATCCTCAGCCTGAAGGTGGCAGGAGATCCAGTGCTAACCCCTAACTCTGTGTGCCTCAGGCTGGCAGGCCTCAGTAAACGTCAGATGCGGATGTGTGTGAGGAACCCTGATGTGACAGCATCTGCTCTGCAGGGGATCCAAGTGGCCATCCATGAATGCCAGCACCAACTCCGGGACCAGCGCTGGAACTGCTCTTCGCTGGAGGGCTTTGGCAAGCTGCCGCACCACAACTCCATCCTCAACAGGGGTGAGAGTCTGAGGCAGGCTAATGATAGTCAGTATGTGATCCTGGGGTTTATGGTAGAAAAGTGCAGGTATAAGAATATAGATTGTGCTGTACACAGGTAAATGACATTTTTAGAGCTGCAGTCTTTATGGTTTCAACCTCTCTGAATGTGTTCCTCTTGCTCCTAGGTTTTCGGGAGAGTGCCTTCTCTCTGGCCTTGCTGGCGGCGGGCGTGGCTCACTCTGTGGCCTCGGCTTGCAGCATGGGCAAGTTGCGGGGGTGTGGCTGCGAGGCCAAGCGTCGCCAGGACGATGACAAGATCCGGCTGAAACTCACACAGCTGCAGCTGCAGACGCTTCAGAAGGGTGGGGCAGGCATCGACTTAACACGGTCATTACCCTCAGAGCTGAATGGTCATCGTGGCAGCCTGCCCACTAACCTGCGCTCAGCCCACCCCTCAGCCCTTCTCAAGCCCTTACCGGATGAGCTAAGCTCTATGCAAGACACCTGGGAGTGGGGGGGGTGCAGTCATGACATCCGTTTCGGGGATCGCTTTTCCAGGGACTGGCTCGACTCCCGGGGGTCTCCAAGAGATATCCACGCCCGCATGAGGATACATAACAACCGTGTGGGACGACAGGTGAATATTGTGCTTTTCAGCTGTTGTCCCTCCGACCTTCAGCACTCATTATCATTTTGGTTGTTGTTGGAGTTTGCTTACAGTGTTATTCTTTACACAGATAGTGACTGACAACATGACAAGGAAATGCAAATGTCACGGCACATCTGGGAGCTGTCAGTTTAAGACCTGCTGGCATGTATCTCCAGAGTTCCGTCTTGTGGGCTCCATACTCAAAGAAAAGTTCCTGACAGCCATTTTTGTCAACTCTCAGAACAAGAATAATGGGGTTTTCAACCCTCGGACAGAAAACGGCGCCAGCGGAACCCAAGGGGGTCTCGGCGGAGGGCGTCGTCGAATCATGTCCAGAGAGCTGGTGTACTTTGAGAAGTCTCCTGACTTTTGTGAGCACGACGTGTCCATAGACTCTCCGGGAACACACGGACGCATCTGCAACAAAACTAGCTACAGCACAGACAGCTGCAGCTCGCTGTGCTGCGGCCGTGGACACAACATCCTGAAACAGACACGCAGCGAGCGCTGCAATTGCAGATTTCACTGGTGTTGTTACGTGCTGTGCGAGGAGTGTCGTCACACAGAGTGGGTCAACGTGTGCAAGTAGACGTCAGTCTGTTCCCTCCTCAGTTCGAGCGGCTTTTACTCATCCAGGACTCAAGATGGCGAGCCTGTCCCTTCGCCCACTCATGTTGTTCGAGCTTTTGTTTTTGCTCCTTGTGCAACTCTCCCAGAGATCCTGTTTACCCCCCACCCACCCTCTTTTTTTAAGTCCATCATCTGGGATCTATTTTCTTTTTGTAGACGCTGTTATTCTCAAAATGCCAAGTCAGAGATTGAAGAGGTGACTCATGTCATTTGTCTTCCCATGGCCTGTTTAGACGCTGGCCTTTCAGCCATGAAAATGGCCCATACTTCATCGTTTGAGACCCACAAAGAAAAAGAAAGAAAGAAAACGCAACAGCAGAGGAGCTTCAGCGTCTACAAGCTGACTCATCTTATTGTACAGTAACAGTTTATTTGAATGTGTATGTCTATAATTGTAAATGTATTATTATTAATATTAATATTGTACTAGAGCCTGTCTTTTTTCAGTGAATGACAGATTGATGGTGGCCATGTGGTCAGCACGGTGAAGCAGTGTGCAGACAGAACAGTCTCATTTTCTTTCTCCATTTGCACCAAAATAATACTCGTGTGTGACTCTGAAAAGTACTAATTTGGGAACTTGTCTCACAATCTTTCTTTACTGATCAAAGAAGACAAATCTTTTTTGGAAGGGCGAATGAATTTGACACAGCGCTTTCTCACATGCAGGACTTTCAGATGCTCGTCCAAGCTTGTACACTTGTAAAACTCAAGATGGGAAACTGGAAGCAACAAATCTCTAGATTGTACGACTAATGATTCAGATTTATATATTTATATAATGGTAACAATAGTAATCACTTCATGAGAATGGTTGCTAGTGGTCATGTTTTTCATGACTCTGTATCATTATTGTGGCAGCAAAAATGCTGTCTCTTGGGTATGACTGTACTGTGATTTGTGTCACTTTCCTATGAAATTGTGACTGGGCTCTTGATATTTCGTGCTTGCTTTTGTCCATTTCATCAGTCTGAGCACTCCTTAGATTCTTCCCACATGTACTACATGTCAAAGTGAGAGATGGACCTACTTTAGTCCTGAAATGACGCTGAAGAGTGTGCGTCTGTTGCTGTGTAAATGGGGGGTAGGCTCTGTGCACTACAGATTTGGGAGGTGAGAGCCTTTTTTATGGCCACTTCATGCTGAGAGAAGGACTTTTTATGGCTGCAGGATATTGTTTCCTTAAAGTATGACTTTTATTACTGGAGAGAAGCATCAAGAGAGCAGAGAATGGGGGTGATTATACCAGTCTTTGCTGTGTGAGCATCTAAGGGGATCATCTGTCCAGAGTTCATAGCCAAGGAAGGGACTTGTTGAACCACGTGCTTTGGGGACGCTGTATCCCTGTTACCTGGGAGACAGACTACACAAATATAAACACATGCACATAAATGCTTGCATGGGTTGGTTTACGTACCAAGACATGTAGGAACGCTGGCACCCGACGCTCAATCAAAAACATGCATGTTGTTGCGCACAAATGAACTGTAGATTTAGCAAAATGCTCCTGTCGCCACTTGACTCGATTTATGATAGCAGCATTCCTTGATATCTTAGATAATCCAAACCGTCTCCATGCTTGGCCTGCTGGGAAAAGCTTTTTTTTGCCACATAGGATTTAATGCCAATTAAGTCCTGTTTGCATGGACTTTGGTAAATATCCCTGAACTCCGAAGGAATGACAGCGCCAGTGGCTGAACTGAGCACTTGATCTTTTTTGGTATTTAGAGAAGGAGCAAAAAAAAAAAGAAGAAGACAGCGAAGAGGTATGGAATGATAAGGGCTTGGATTTCTGGTTTGGATTTCTTCATTCCTTTATCATTTCACCCTGGAGCTGCTGCGAAAGGGAATTTCCTGTCACTGTTTCTAACCATGTGTGAGACAGAGGTTGGTGGACAGCCTGGGATTGCTTTCTCTCTCTCGCTCTGTTTCTCTTACTTACTTCGCCCCTTTCCCCATTCTCCCCTTCATCATTGCAGACAGAGACACATACATAGCAACACATTGACTGCCCCCACCCCCCCTGCAGTAATGACATCCAGACTGGGCTGAAATTAAAGAGAGGCAGGCAGAGAGAGAGGAAGTAAGGAGAGATAAAAGTTACCCACTTTGACTGACAGCATGATTATATGTATAAATAAGGCGATTTAGTGTGTTTAGTTGGATATGAAGATAGCGAGATAGATTTTGCTGCACATACGGCAGAGATGCACAAGCAAAGGACAAATCGAGTGTGGCGAACGGGGTGAATAAAGTGTACTCTGTATGAATATATGCCTCGAAACATCTGCTTCTCAACTCCCCTTTCATTTTTGATGTGGGACAGGCAGAGGAGAGCGGGAGAGAAAACACAAGGAGCCAGCTACCCAGAACATCAAAGCCCCTGCCCTCAACGTGCAGGCCCTCATTAGTTCAGCTAGCAGAACCAACGAGACTTGTGATTGTGTTTGCTGGGGTGCACGCTGGCAGACACTTCAGAGGAAAGGCTCCCTTAAGTCATAACTCCCCACCCTACCTCTCCTGCCACCACCCGGGCCCGCTTTAACCCCCCTGTAACCCTCTCCAAACTCCCCGCGCACACAAACTCCTGCATGCTCACCCCACCATCCACTCCACCCCGTAATCTGGTCTGCAGCTGCAAACATCTGCTCCCCTCTTTATTCCTCGCTGCCTCCACCGCTGAATTGATAAACACATCTATTACTGGACCACTGACTGGCACACAGCACGGAGGAGCAATGAGGCAAATGTTGGACTCACCTATGGCTGCAGGGCCGGTTTGAAGGAGTGCCGTTTGTTCACATTGGCTTCTTCTTTAGGCGACTTCTTTTCTTTTTTTTTTAATGTCCTTTAATTTCAAAGTGCAGTGCAGTTTGCAAGTGTACAATGCAAAAGTGCATGACAGAAAACAAGAAAGAGAGAAGGCATTGACCCCAGGTTTGGTTTTATTTAACTTCATTCAGAACCTTTTTTTATTTTAAAGAGATTGCTACCGAAAAGAAGAAAAACATCTTATAACTATGAGGGAAGTGAGTCTGCAGTGGTTTGGACTCACATGCATGAAGCAATCTCATTAGATAGCATAGGCGCCAAAAAGCCATAGAAATATTTGACATTTTTAATAAATAAAATAATGCTCAAAGGTAAACCAACTGCAACATCGATTCAGTCTATGCTTTTGTCCCCTCCTGTCACCTCATTATCTGTGAAACACTGCCAGGAAGTATCACTTGGCATCCTGTTACAGTCAGCCATTTACTTATTCATTAAGATGATTCCTGTTTTAATTATTCAAGCGTGCTTGCCTGCAGGCTCTCGTTTAAAACTGGTTTGGGCCCTCTGAAATGTCATATGTGAGATAGCGGGAATAACGCTATCAAACTATTTATTATTCTTTGATGTTCCTCAAGAAAACAAGATAAGCCTCAAATAAGCTGTAAGGTGATGGTGCATACAGTAACTTTTCAGAGCTGGAGACAGCAGCTCCTGGCTTTTAACAAGTCGCCGGGCGATGAGAGATTGGCAATCCAAGTACCGCGAGAACGCGCAGTGTCACAGCTGCAGCTCATCGCGAGACTATCATCCAGTCCTTCGCCTGAATCCAGCTGGTACCCTTCCTGCCGTTGACGGGTAAGTGTGAACGAGATGCAAATGGTGAAATTGCTGAAAGAGGTATACGAGCGCTAAAAAGGTGGTTTCATTTATCACCGCTTGAGTTGCCTTTTAAATGCTGCGAGGGGGGAAATGAACGACCCTTAATGTACGACATGAGGCCGACTGGCGCGCTTGTCGTGACTGTAAGAGGGGGGATTATAGCACACAAATTGACCCGGAGATTTTATTTATGTTTTCAATTAAATACCGACGATGTTAGCTCACAGGATAGCAAGCAGATTATGTTCGGAAAGTGAATGTTATCGAGCCGAAAGAAACGTGATTTGGGTTCAAAATTCATCGCCTGCTTCGACTGCAGCATCCGCCGTCTTCGCCTCGCATTATGACAGATGTGTGTGGATGTGCGGCCACTGCAGCTGCAACGGGCTACGCTAGCACCTGCTGTCCGTGCGTTTGATAGAAATGAATGGAAACCTAGCTAGTCAGAGGGAAAGCGGCCAGTCATTAAAACACACAAGAGGGATACTTCACTGCCCCACAGAAGACTGCTGGTTTAAAATAACCCTCTAAAAACCAATGCGACCCGTGTAGTGTGTGTTAGCATAAGTTAACAGGCAAGGTTGGCCTGTAAAGGGCCCATTACCACTGAAGGGCCACCCTCCTCCTCAGCTCTGTGAGCCTGACTGTGTGCAACCATAGACAGCCTTAGGTTATGTGTCATAATAACGTAATATGAAATGAGTGTTACCCTGGCACATCTTCAGTTGCCTAAAAAGAGCATAAAAAGGTGGTTACTCAGCACCACATGAAAGCTGAGCCACATAACAGAGATCCAGCATGGCTGCCTCCTTTCCCAGTGAGCCGTCACTGTAAAGGAGCAGCTTTCGAGTCAGGTCAGCTGCCTGCCGGGGTGTGAAGTATATGTTTCCTGGCTTTCCTCTGAGGGGGCACGGCTGCGAGCAGTAAGGGAGGTGCCAATGCTGAGATGTGTTTTTGAACAGCTACTGTCACACCACATGTTTCTTTGTGTGTGTGTGCGTGTGTGTGTGTGTGTGTGGTTTCGACTCTCTAAACGTGGTTCACGGTTTGTTTTGTCTGCTTGTTGCTATGTATAGCAACAAAGCAGCCCGTGTAACAGTTTTGTTGCAGTTGTGCCCCCACCTCCTCTCCTCCCGAGTCATCATGGGAAACATCTTTGGGAACCTGTTGAAGAGCCTGATAGGCAAGAAGGAGATGAGGATTCTCATGGTGGGGCTGGACGCTGCAGGGAAAACCACCATCCTGTACAAGTTGAAGCTGGGGGAGATCGTCACTACCATCCCCACAATTGGTGTGTGACTGTCTGCCTCTAAATAAAAAAAACAAAACATGTGTCTTAGAGATTATGTGACCCATTTTCTATTTGCTTGTTGTCTCCTCCACCCCAGGTTTCAATGTAGAGACAGTGGAATACAAGAACATCAGCTTCACTGTGTGGGACGTGGGTGGCCAGGACAAGATCCGTCCTCTTTGGAGACACTACTTCCAGAACACCCAGGGTGAGATGCATCAAAAGCATCTTAGGTGAAAGACCAGCCAGCATGGTTAGAGTTTTGTTTGTTTTTTTTAAAAAAGGCCTCTCCAGTCCTGCTGCGGATCCTGGAGCGCACGCTCGCCCCCAGCACCTGAGGACAAAATCTGACTAATCCTTCAGATGATGTAATTTGCATACAGGCTCCAGATGTTTCAAATGATCATCATCTTAGTCATGTTCAAATCCCGGACAACCATTAAACATGCTTTGACAATATGCTTTCCTAACAATGTGATGTGACCTGATTGTTTTTGTTCGGTTTCAACTTATTCCTGCAGGTTTGATCTTTGTGGTGGACAGCAATGACCGCGAGCGGGTCAACGAAGCTCGAGAGGAGCTGATGCGGATGCTGGCTGAAGACGAGCTGAGGGATGCTGTTCTTCTAGTCTTTGCCAACAAACAGGTATCTGCCACATTACGTTCCCCCCTGCTTTTACGCCTCTTGCCTCACCAACTTCCTGACGGACACTTTGTCCTCTGTGATTTTGTTCAGGACCTGCCCAACGCCATGAACGCCGCAGAGATCACAGACAAGCTGGGCCTGCACTCCTTACG